TGTAGCCAGGCAGAACTCCCAGTGGAGGGATAAGGACAGCAACCCATCCACAAAACATTCGACCCAACATGTGTCCTGCCTACAAGGTGTACAGGGACAAAGTTAGAGCAGAGACTGAGGGAATGGTGAACCAATGACTGCTCCAAATTGAGACCCAACCCACGGGTAAGAACCAATTCCTGACACTATTAATGATACTCTGTTTTGCTTGTAAACAGGAACCAACTGTCCTCCGAGAGGCTCCACCCAGCAGCCAATGGAAAGAGGATGAGAGACTCAAATCCAAACATTAGATGGAGCTCTGAGAGTCTTATGGAAGAGTTGAGAGAAGGTTTGAGGGACCAGACGAGGACAGGGACTCCACAGGAAGACCAAGAGTCAACTAACCTGAACCTTTGAGGGCTCCCAGAGACTGAATCACCAACCAAGGAGCTTACATGGGCTGGACCTAGGTCCCCTGCACATGTGTAGCAGATGAGCAGCTTGGTCTTCATGCAGGTCCCCAACCACTAGAGCAGGGCTGTCCCTGAGCCTGTTGCCTGCCTGCCTGTGGATCCTGTCCCCCTAAATGGACCACCTTGTGTAGCCTCAGTGGGAGAAGATGCGCCTAGTCCCACAGTGACTTGATATGCGGTGGGTGTTAGTGGTGATGGGAGTGTGACGCCCAGAAGGGAAAGGTGGAATGAGGGGGAGGACTTATGTGAGGGGGTACTGGGAGGAAAGGAAGGGCTGATGTTAGGATGTAAAGCGAATAAACAACTTTTTAAAAAATAACCAGGCTGTAGGCAAGCCAGTAGAGTATTTTCTTAATTAATGATTGATGGGGGGAGAACCCTGCCCACTGTGGTTGGTGCCATCCCTGGGCTGACGGTCTTGCATTCTATAAGAAAGCAGGCTGAGTAAGAGCAAGCCGTAAGCAGCACTCTTCCAGTGCCTCAGTATCAGCCTCTGCCTCCATGTTCCTATCCTGTTTGAGTTCCTGTCCTGACTTCCTTCAGTGATGGACTATGATGTGTAAGTTTCTCCTCACGTTGCTTTTGGCCATAGTGTTTCACCACAGAAATAGTAACCCTAAGCACGATAAGAACTGTTTCTCCAGTCTTCTAACTTGGACTGAAGACCAGTTACTCTCCAGAAATCCACCCAGCCTTCAGTACCAGATTGAGATTGCTGAGGTCAAGGCTTGTGGATGAAGCAGCTACTGGGTCCTCAGCTTCTCTGATGTAAAGACAGCCATTCTTAAATTACTTAGACCCTATTATGTAAGACAACCTAATAAATCCTTTTGATATATATCATATATCTAGATACATTCATTCTATTGATTCTGTTCCTCTATACAGCCCCTAATATAGTGTCCTAATACAAGACACTCAAAAAAAATTTTTCAGTGAAAATCTATTTCAATAAATGTTATAGTAAAACTGGGAACCTCACACTAAAAGTCACTATGAACGTGATATCTGTAAGTGTAGGTGTGGGTACTGTCATGGGTTGAATAAGAATGGCCCCCATAGGCTCATAGATTTGAATGCTTGGTCATTAGGGAGTGGCGCTACTTGACAGGGATTAGAAAATGTGACTTTGTAGGAATGGGTGTGGCCTTGAAGGAAGGGTGTCACTGGGGATGGGCTTTGGGGTTTCAGATGCTCAAGTCAGTGCTAGTCTCTCTTCCTGCTGCCTACTGATCTGGTATAGAACTCTCAAGCTCCTCTCCAGCACCATGTCTGCCTGAATGCGACCATGTTTCCTTCCCGCCATGACGATAATGGACTAAGCCTCTGAAACTGTAAGCCAGCCCCAATGAAATATTTTCCTTTATAAGAGTTGCCATGGTCATGGTGCCTTTTCACAGTAACAGAACACTGACTAAGACAAGTACCATGTTGGTAACTCAGATACTGTCATAACTAGATCCCTTGGAGAAGAGATTCTAAACTGGAGAGTGACATTTGAGTTGCTTATTAACAAATAACTATGTGGAGAAACAGGAAAAGCAGGATCCAGGGAGACACAGCAAAGGCCTCAGCTGATCTAATGGGAGGCTCTGGAATTTAGATAACCCTTTCTACCCCTTACATCTCCACAGCACTGTTCATCATCGAAGGAAGTCAGGACAGGAGCTCAAACAGGGCAGGAACCTAGAGGCTGGAGCTGGTACAGAGGCCAGGGTGGGGTACTGCTTATTGGCTTGCTCCTCGTGACTTGTTCAGCCTGCTTTCTTATAGAACCCAGGACCACTATCCCCAAAATGGCACCAACCACAATAAGCTGGACCCTCCTCCATCAATCACTAATTAAGAAAATGCCCTATGGCTGGATCTCATGGAGGCATTTTCTCACTTGAGGCTCCCTCCTCTCAGATGACTCTAGCTTATGTCAAGTTTTCAAGCTATCCAACACAGTCAGTCCTGTCAATGCAGCTTCCATCAGCTAATAGCAATCCCAACCAGGGGGGACCAAACTGCAGTACTGCTAACAGCTAAGGGAACAAGAATGCCTGTTGCAAAGGCCAAGGCCTGAGCAGTAGTGTAGATTCTTTGCTTCAGTCCTGTGCACTCCTCAGATCCACTTGCTTTTGCTGGCCAGATCTAGGGGTATCTCATCCAGGAGTCCGGTACTTATCTTTTCTTAAGAAGTATTAGTTGCTAGCCGGGCGGTGGTGGCGCATGCCTTTAATCCCAGCACTTGGGAGGCAGAGGCAGGCGGATTTCTGAGTTCGAGAGTTCGAGGCTAGCCTGGTCTACAGAGTAAGTTCCAGGACAGCCAGGGCTACACAGAGAAACCCTGTCTCGAAAAAAACAAAAAACAAAAAAAAGAAGTATCAGTTGCAGAGTTAATAGAGCATCATGGAACCCCACTGTTCCAGCTGTTCTCCAGAACGGTCCTCTAAACCAGTGCTTCTCAACCTTATATATCAGGATATATCTGATATCCTGCATTTGATGCATAGCAGGAGGAAATTTACAGTTATGAAGTAACAACGAGATAATTTTATGGTTGGGATTTTCCACAACATAGGAACTATATTAAACGGTCCCAGCATTAGAAAGGTTGAGAATCTCTGTTCTAAATCCTTTTTTAAAACTGTGCATGTATGAGTGTAGGTGACCCAGACTCCAGGAAAAAAAGCATCAGATTCTTTGGAGCTAGAGTTACAGGCGTTTGTGAGCTGCCCAACATGATACTATACTAAGAATCAAACTCAGGTCCTCTGCAAAGCAGCCAGCATTCTAGACCTCTGAGCCAGCTCTCCAGACCCTCCTCTCAAATTAACCAGTGCTTTTCAAGACTATCGGGAACACTGAGAGCAAGGAGAGTCTGAGAAACTCTTAGGACCAAAAGAAGTCCACTGATTCATGACAATCAAACTAAATGCAATACGGTGGCCTAGATGGGGTCCTGAAACAAATCTATATTAGGTAAAAACTAAAAATATCTGAATAAGCTATGGACTTCAGTAAGGACTTCCATTAATAATTAGCTGGCTGGGGCTGGAAAGATGGCTCAGTGGTAAGAGTACCAGCATTTTACAGAGGACCAGAGTTCAGTTCTCAGCACCCATAAGTTCTCAGCTTACAACAGTCTTCTAACTCCAGTTTCTGGGTCTCTGGCTTCCTCAGGTACCAGGCATGCATACAATACAATTACACAGTGCAAGCAAAACACCCATACATGCACACACTTACATAACTTACAACTTACACAAGCATCTAAAAAGTAATGTCTGCCTTCTCCCTAGGATAGAATAGTAATTTTATAGTTTACTCTCTTGACCAGTGGGTGAAGAATTTTCAGAACTACTTGTCTTTTTCATTAAGACAGTTCTTTACCCACAAGCCATGACCCAAGTATGTTCCACGTAATTATTTATTCTGGAAGTGGGGAGATGTCAATGAGGTGGATTATGAATTCAGTGTTGGTAAGTCCCAGGGGAGAAGCCATGTACAACATCTCAGATGTTCCCATCTGAAAAGGGAGTTGGCAACTCCACACCAATCCCGAGGGTCAAGGTAACCTGGACTTTGTAGCTCGTTGTCCTTGGAGAATGTAGGTTCTCTTTCCTTCACACAAACAACCATAGTGAATTATCAGATACACCCGGAATGGATCATAAGCCCTTTCTCTTGGGGACCCACCCTGTCTTTTGGTCAATACTTTACAAGCTTAAAAAATAGCAAAGCTCTAGTAACTTGGCGGAGATCATAATCTTTTATTAGGATGGTCGTGACCCAACCTTGGGAAATGGTATAGCTTGAGCAATACTCTTCCTGCTGACCCATCAAATTCATCACGTTCTAGAAACTGTCTCCAAAGCTCTCTGTAGGCCATGCCTGATGATAACTGTAGCACAATTTGTTCAGACAATGGAGTGCCGCCACTGGGCCTCTACCCTTCTGTACCTTTGCTATCGGTGAAATGTCTCCTGTAACAGCATCTGGCCTGGAGAGGCATCAGGGAGCTTCTCAGTGACACCAGTGTCCCATGAACACATTCACCATGGTAAATATGTTTCCTACGAATTACTTTACTGACCTGTCCAATAACATCCAGGAAATATGAACGCAGGTATTTGACCTGCTAGTTACAGGAATTCCCCCCCCCATGTCCAGTGGAATAAATAATTTTAATATAAAAATATGTTCCTATCTACCACTTAAAACCACCCAGCACACAGATGACTCTGAGGAGGACTGAAGTGGTCCACGAGGAGATGCTGATTAAAGTAGGAGAGCCCTGTGGCCTCCCAACCCACTGCAGCCCCTGGTCCTGCTGAGAAGCCTGTAATTTCTGAAGGGCCCACTTCAGTCAGTATGAGCCTTTCATATGCTGCAGTGTCTACTAATTTGAGCATTTGTCTACTCCTTGACTGGATTTAGGGGGGCAGAAGGTCCTTAAACACATCTGCCTCTAAGCCTCTTGTCCCTCTAACTTATAGGGATGATGGAAGGAACACCAGAGTTCCTTCTCATTTATTAGAAATATAACACACATTCAACTTAAAGGCACACAAAGAAATCTTTTAATTCCTTGGGGAAACATCTCCTGGGGTGATTGCATGTATTTCAGTTACCACAGAGATACTTTCATCCTTACTTGTTACCAAAAAATAAAAACTATGGTGAATGGTTTACAATTCACAGACACAGACAATTTCATCTACTTTGACATCAAAGAAGACAAAAGTCACAGCAAATTCTGAGAGATTAAAATACAGCATTCTAAGATTTTTTTTGTTTATTTTATTGTTTATCTTCTGATAGCCCACAGATGTGACTGAAAATATTTGCAGGCTAATTTTAAACAATATGAAGTAGAGGATAAGCACTAAATACTTAAAAAAATAAAATAAAACTTTTACCTTACTTATTAAACTAGGAAGAATTTTTCTGAAATTCAGGAAACTAGTCTACAATATATTAATGAATGGGGGGCATGTGTTTCCTGGTAAATATTTTAAACATGGAGGATACACGCAAAACAAAACCAAAACCAAAAAAAAAAAAACCTTCTTTAGGATATGAAATTTTTCAAGTCACAATCCCCTGAACAGACTAATACAAATTTATTTTCCACCTGACGTCAGAAGTGCAAAATTATTAAAAAATAAAAATATTTCTATTGTTCTCAGAAGTCTACAGATAAATCCCACAGGTCTTTAAAGGCTTTTCAACAAAACGAACCACGATCTCTTGGCAAGCTCCTTGCTTATGAGCTTGGGAAACATGGCTCTCATTCTGTGTGCAAGCTGTACTGTTAGCATATCTCCATTCTGAAAAATCACCTTCACAGTGAAGACCCAGCAGTGAGCACTGTCAGCATATGCCACTGCCTGCATATCTACAAGTCTGCACAAAAAGGTCCCTGGGCAGCTGCAACCCTCAGCTGATAATCAGAACACAGATTCAAGACAGGAAGTAGAGGCCAAATATTCCAGTTTACAGATGCTATTTTTCATAAAAATGTTAAGGGCTTTTGGATCAGAAATGGACAACGTGTTAAAAAAAAATGGAGGCAATTGGGTAACTTCAGTGCTGGGGATTTGCCGAGGATTCAGGGTACTCGAGTCACAGATGAAGACACTTAGCTACAGGAAGTTGTGCTATCTGGGCTGCACGTCTACACACCTCTATTGTCTGGCTCACCTATACTTCTAAATAACCATGCCTGATGCTCAAAGGAATGCCCCAAACAGCATCTCAGCTGCTGCAGATGTTTCTGAATCAAAGAGAGGTCACACAAGGCCTAGGGTTTTATGGAATCTGGGGCACCTTGTCTAGTATTACACTTAATAATGATTACCTTGAAGTTGGTGATGTAATTGAGGGCTCTGTTACACCCTTCTCTATTCATCATACTGTTGTGCTGAGTAGAAAACACCAGTCCTCCACAGAAGGAACGACTGTAGCTTATATAACCAATGAGCCCGTGACTTCTTGGAACTTGACTATCCAGAAAGAACTACCCACCCACCAACTCTTTAACTTCCATTCTGGATGCATGGTGGCCACCAGGTGTTTTAATGCAGCCAGAGCATCCTTAGGTGAAGGTCCTGAAGAAGACCTTCCATTTTGTAGAATTCACAATAGTGTTTGACTGGCTCACTCGAAACCGCAGGCAGCAGTGCAACTTTGGTAAATTCCTGTGTCACGGTAAAAAGCCTCTACTCTTCTGAGCCTCCCTTTACGGACTTGGAAATGGAGGGTAGTGCAGTTTTCTCTGGCAGTCTACCAGGCACGGGACCCCAGGTTTCTTGGGGTACATTTGGCTAGCAATCTTAAAGAAGTCCTCAGCAGCATCAAGAGCAATGAGCCGGTCCTGCAGTTTAAAAAGAAAAGAGAAAAAAGGAAGCTTGCCAAGTTAGAAACCAAGCCACATGGATGAGAAAATTTAGTAGACAATAAAGCCTGACTTAGAAATAACCCCAGACAAGTAAAACATTCGTTAAAAATTTCAAATCTTACAAACTTGCCTTACCCCTTTATTTACATTATCCGAGATATTTCCACCAATACCTTGTAATGTGAGCAAATGTATGTGCAGAAGTGTGCATGCATGTGTGTGTGTGTGTGTGTGTGTGTGTGTTCAGGTGAGCCAGAGGTTAACCTTAGGTGTTGATCCTCAAGAACCACCCGACCTTGTTTCACGATTTTTTGAAACAGTCTCTCACTGGGATCTGTGAGGCACCTGACCAGTTTGGCTGGCCGGCCAGCAAGCCTATTTCTCTGTGTCCCAGCCCTGAGTTTGCAAGCAGTGCCAGCATGTCAGCCTTTTAAAGTGGGTGCTGGAGAACAAACTGAACTATCTCCCCAACCCCTCCACCAATTCTGTCAATCTTAGGCTGGATAGATGCTTTGACCGTTTGACCTAATGTTGAAACTAACCACACAGCAGGACTCGTCTGAAAAACAGACTCTGGCCACAGCCTGAACCTCAACAGCTTTAGATGAAATCTTTCCGGAACCTCAAAGCTTTTCAGGTGGCTCTGGTGCCATCGGCCACAGCTGCATACAATGGCAGGAGAATGCACCACTATGTCCTGGTGGAGTTGGTGAGGCTGGGATGGGTGTCCCAGGAAATAACAGAAAAGTAAACCCAAACAAGGCAGATAAGGAAGACAACCACTTACCACAATCAAGAGATACCTCTCGGAGAGCTCCCAGCTGGCCGGGAAGATAGAGGTCTCTTCAGCCAGTTTTAACAGCATCTCTCGGGCTTTCCTCGTGTTTTTAGAATCACTCATGGTGCTGAGTTTGGTCACTGACAACAAAGAGTCAGCTTCCCTTTGAAAGCCTAAGATAGAAAAATGTGCAGTCATCACTAGGAAGTGCCCGTCCTGTGATACTATCCCTGTGATTATTAAGGGATCCTGCCTGGTGTGGTGGTACACATCTTTAATCCCGTAACTGGAAGGCAGAGGCAGGAAGATCTCTGAGTTCCAGGATAGCCTGGTCTACAAAGCAAGCTCCAGGACAGCTGGGCTACACAGAGAAATCTTGTCTTGAAAATCAAATCAAATCAAATCAAATCAAATCAAATCAAATCAAATCAAATAAAGAAACCTAAGTGGGGATTCTGTATTGAAAACTAAGGCCAAAGACTCTACTGTGTGCTGCTTCCCTCCCTGTGTGAGTGGGAGGCTCTTAACTTAAAACTATTCCATGTTTTCTTTTTGTTGTTGTTGTTGCTTTGTTTTGCACATGGCTCACAACCATCTGTAATGGGATCCCATGCCCTCTTCTGGTGTGTGTCTGAAGACAGCAACAGTGTACTCATATACATAAAATAATTCTTTGAAGAAAAAAAAAAAAAAGGAGGTCTGGCTCTTGACTGCTCATGGCACTTTGTTAGCGGCCTTGTCCTAGAATCCCTACACCTCTCCCCAGTCTGCTCAGCTGTCGCCTCAGATGCTGGAGGACCCTACATATCCAAGCCCCCATTTTCATCCTCACGGTAATCTAGTCAACTGACAGAAAATTAACTTTCCCAAACACAGAAAAGACTCAAAAAACGAAACTGCTCAGACTGACTTGTAAAAAGTAAACTATTAGCCCACATCGGTACAGAGCGAGTTAGAGGGCAGAGCGTTCACCTTACCCGGCTGGCCCCAACTGAGACAACCAGGGCTTCCACCCGGCACCCAGCTCTGCAAATCTATGCCAGAGGATCATGTCACCTCAAAGCAGAATATCAAAGACTCTAAGGTGATCACTTATTTTTGAGCACTAGAGCAAGCTTGTTATGATGTGGGGACATATTTATTCAACGCTAGTAGAATTAAGAAAGGCCACTACTCAATCCTTATCATAATGGCAAGTGTATTTTCCCACCCCTGCAACTTTTTCTCCCTTTTGCTTCTTTTAGAATTTTCTACTGTGTCTTAATATCTCTTACAAACAATATTTCTCTCACCTATCGTATTTATAAAGCTATTACTACTTGGACAATCGCTATCCATCTAGCTCAATCAATAATGACAAAAACTGTCAGTAATAACACCCATATGACTTCACTACCTTGTGCCGACTTGTACTTGGGGACAGATGAAGTCATATGGCCAAGTAACATGGACTGGTGACAACAGAAATATTAAGGTTTATGCTTGAGAGCGTAAAAGAAAAACTGAGGACCAAACCAGTATAAGGTAATGTAATTAGTCAGTGGCTGACAATCTTTTGATAAAGAGACTGTTGAGATACTGTCTTGTGCGCTGTGTAATGAAGCATCACCTGTCTCAGCGTTTTGTAAACATCTTCTCCATCACCTTCATTGATTTAATAAAGAGCTGAAGGGCCTACTGCAAAACAGGAGGGGAAAGGCAGGTCTTCTGGGCAGAGTAAGGAATGCTGGGAAAGAGTCTGAGTCAGGAGAAAAAGCAAGTGCCGGCACTCAGGAGGTAGCGAGCCACATGGCAGAATATATATTAGTATAAATGGGCCAATTTAAGTAAAAGTGCTAGGTGGGAACAAGCCTAAGCTAAGACAAGCTTTCAGAATTAATAAAAGGTCTCCATGTCATTACTCTATAGCTGGTGGGTCTGAGACCGTGATGGAAAAAGTGAAAAGTACGTGACCAGTTGTTTTTACTGTTTCACAATCTCTCTCAGACTCACCCAAATCTTCTAAGATCCGTCTCCATCTGTTCCTCACTTCCCTGCGGATCTGCCGCAGGGTGTAGATATCATAGTTGAGTCTTTGCCACTCCTGCAAAGAGATAAAAATTCACATTTACTTACACCCTCTGGCCTAAAACCCCTATGGCATCTCTGAACTGCAAGTTGCCTAAACACGTGGTTCTTCTCTTCACTAACCATAGCATAATCCTAAAAGAAAAGGAGGCGTGCATGAGGCAGAGTTAACAGGAACATCATCAGCTGCCACTGCTGGAGAATCTCTCCACTTCTAGGTGATGTCCTATCTAAGTGTTACTTAGACTTTCTGATTCTGAATTCTCTCCATTGCAGTGACCTTACCTGAAAAATGTGGTTAGCAATAGTAAAATTTCCATGTAAGACCATCTGTCAAGATGTAAAGTATAAAATATTAGGACAAAGGTTGTCTCAGCAGATAAAGTACTTACCACACAATCTTGAGGACCCGAGTACCCTGTAGATGCCCAGTGGGTACGGGGGTAGGTCTATCAGTCCAGTGCTTACAGGCAGAAATACTGGGGGAGGGGAAACAATGCATTCCTGGATAGCTAGACAAGCCAAACTGGTGAGCTCTGCCTTCAACTGGAACTTCATCTAAGATAAAAGGTGACTAAGGAAGACTGCTCACATCAGTGTGAGTACACACACACACATACACTCACACACACACACATACACACTCACACACACATAGACACACACACACTCACACACACACACACATACACTCACACACACACATAGACACACACTCATACACACACACACTCACACACACACATACACACTCACACACACTCACACACACACACATACACTCACACACACAGACACACACTCACACACACATACACTCACACTCACACACACACACGAAAGAAAAAATGCCAATGCCTGCCTACAACGAAGACATAATAAAACCTATGTATTTGAAGCCATTTATAGATGAAGAACTAAGGCCCAAATAATTTATATGATGAATCTAATATATTCCAGGTAATAAATATTAGAAGTGGTGTTTGAACCTAAGTTTTACTCGAAAGTTCATGAAAAAAAAAAAATAGCAAGAATCTACATCTCGGTCTGTTATTGGGATGATATATAGAGACCTAGGAATCCCAAGAATCCCAACTGCTAGCCGTGTTTCCCATATCATAGCTCGGCATCACTCTAGACGTGGTAAACTGTTTGGGCGCACGGGGATCCATTAAAAGGTTACCATTCTGGAAAGTCCCTTGTCAGCTTTTGGGTGACATGGGCATCATGCTGATCCTAACACAGAATCTGGATCTTAGGCCTCCACTAAGATTGTATCTAAGCATTCTCTGATGGCAGTGATCTCAACCTGGGGTTGATACCACTTTGAGGGCCACATATCGGATATCCTGCCTATCAGATATTTACTATGACTCGTAACAATAGCAAATTGCAGTTATGAAGTAGCAGCAAAATAATTTTATGGTGGGGGGATCACCACACATGAGGAGCTGTATTAAAGGGTCACAGCACTAAGAAGGTTGAGAGCCACCACCTTCAGGTGTCACAGAAATTTGCTTTTAGGGAGACTTATCTGTAAAGAAGCTCTCTTATAGTGAACACCTTTTCCTTTCTCAGAAAAGACTGTCTTCACTCTCAGCTTCAGAGAGCAGCATTTTAAACGTTTAAGACTCGAGTTGTTTAATATTTTGACTCCTGTAACTGAAAAGGTTTCAACAGCACCATTCTCTCCTTTCCAAACAGACTTGCCTTGCAGATTGCCATTCAACTTTCATGCCAAGCAAGGAAAATAAGCTTAGCTGCCACTCGAATGCATCAAAAGATACCACTTTGAAAAAGAGAAGCTAACAAAATACAGTGTGCTTTGTCATGACTGCATTTGAGACTTTACCTGAGGACACGTCATGAGAAAGCTTTCTGCTACATTTAAGGCAGAAAGTTGTCCATTTCCTAGTTCTTAAAAAAATAATAAAAAATAAAAAGAGCCAACAGCAGGTGTACATGTGCACGGTGCCTAGAAGCAAAGACAGAAAGGTCTTAGAAGGGAGAGTAGTTAACTAAGTCACCTGGAAATCATGGAGAGACAGACAGCTCAGCAGCTGGGAGCACTAGCTGCTCCTCCAGGGGACCCAACTGAGGTTTGAATTACAGCACCACATGTTAGCACACAACCTTCTGAAACTCCAGTTCCAGGGATCTCTGATGCCCTCTTCTGGTCCTGGGGGGGTACTGCATGCACACGATACACAGACACATGTGTAATCAAAATACCCATACACCTAAAATACTTTTTTTAATTTAAAAATAAATACTATGCAATCCTGGCCTCATCTTAGCATCATATTAAAGCATACCTAGACAACTCCTGCACCCAGACTGGATAAACTGTAAAGGATAGACCCGAAGCAGTCTTTTCAGCAGGAAGACCTTACAGTACTCAAGTGATGACTCAATACAACTGACTGTACTGAGCCAGACTGTCTGCCTAGCATTGCATCCAGCCCCACTGGCAGCCCACTTCACTGCCGATGCCTCTTCTGCAATACTACCTACACCACCATGGCTTACTATGAGGCTCAGTTGTTTCTGTGGCCTTCAGATGGAAGTCAGCATGCACCCTCTTCCAAGTCAGTATAGATATAGTTAAAAAACAATACCAAGGGGCTGCAGAGGTGGCTCAGCATCTAAGAGTGCTCTCTGCTCTTTCATAAGACCTGCGTTTGGCTCCCAGCACTGATGTTGGATGGTTCACAACTGCTAGTGTGTCCAGACCTGAACCCTGCTAATCCCAATGGAGATCTCATCCGCTCTTCAAGATTTCATCCATCCCCAGTGACAAGGGATGCTGTGCTTGAATAATGTTGGCTACCCAAGAACAGTTCACATGGTGACTTCTCCCCCATCCCCACTCCTGTTTATTGCTATGGGCGTCTCACATCCTGGCCATGGCTGACTACTGGAAGAGGCTCTGCAAAGAAAAGTTCCAGAGCAGTCGGGACAGAACGAAGGTACGAGGAAGAAAAGTCAATAAGAGAGGGCCAGTAAGGGCTGAGAAGATGGCTCAGTGGTTAGGGGCACTTGCTGTTCTTGCAGAAGACCTACCTGGATTTGGTTCTCAGCACTCACGTGGCAGCTCACATCTCTAACTCCAATTCCAGAGGCTCTGATGCCCTCTTTTGGTCTTTGAGGGCACTGCATGCAGGTGATACACAGATATACATGCATGCAGGCAAAACACCCACACACATAAAAATAAATAAATAAATCTTGACAAGGAAGGAAGGGTATAAAAGTTTGTAAAAGCCAGAAATGACAACCTGTAATCCCTGGTCACAAAAGTTCCAGAGAACTGTCACGTTTTCAGAGTCAAGAGTCTCAACCCCCAGGCTGAGCCGTAGCTAGTGACTACCAAGGGTCAAAAATCTCATACCTGGGTCCTGTACCCCAGCAGTAACATTAGAGGATGCAACTGGTGCTCTGCCTACCTACATCTCTTCCTGCTGCTGCCAAGCACTGTAGAGATCAAGGATAAAGGTCACTAGGGACTACCTTCTTATCTACTCACCGTCACCAGCTGACTGGTGACACGCCCTTGGGTCCCAGCCTCCCCTACTGTAAATAACCTGCACACAGGTGAATGGGATCACGATTTCACGAATGCATTTCATGCACTATCATTATCTTCTTTTGATATAATAATACAACTCTGAAACTAGCAGAAGCCTGAGTGGAATGGAACTGAAAATTGGATTTAATAGAATGATTGGCCAGAGGAGACCAAATTCCCCTTAAATGCAGCGCTCCAAAAAACCGGAGTGAACGTGAGGCAGATGAGGGATGGCAACACATAAGATCTTCCCCAATTACTATTCTTCATAACTAGAAAAAAAAACCTATTTCTTTATGCTAGAAAGGACCACATTCTTGATGTGCTTCTAGAACTCTTAAATCTTAACCATTTGCTTTTTAAGCTCGACAGAACTTGAAAATAAAAACTCAAAATCAGTTAAGAAACTTTCATCAGAGAATTTCATACCATTAAGCACCAAACGTTAGATTTCATTGTCTTAACTTGTACTTGTTTTCCCATAATTTCCGAAACGGCATGTTGTGGTCGGAGCACTGTGATGGCCTGAACTATCAAGAACGAGGGAAGGAGAAAAGATCCAGCGGAAAGAATAATGCAGAATTAATTCTGTGAAACACCTGGGAACCAAGCCAATTATGTGTGACTGAAATGAACACCTGGGGATGTTCACAGCTACATTTGGGGGTGGTCTTCTCTTCAGGTAGCCAAATCAGATTAGAACTGACTGATACAAGGGTTAAAACAACAACGTGAAAGAGAGAGAAAACAAAGTCATCTCATGACACCATCTTCCAGCTTTGAGTGCCAGAGCTGGCTGAGATCCTGGTGATTTGAATGAAAATGGCCCCCACTAGCACAGGCACTCGGGAGTACAATGATTAGAGGTGTGGCCTTATTGGAGGAAGTGTGACTTGGGTGAGGGGGGTGAGGTTTCAGAAGCTCAAACCAGGCCTAGAGTCTGCCAATCCAGATGTACCAGATATGGAACTCTCAGCTCCTTCTCCAGCATCATGTCTGCCTGCATGCTGCCACAGTTCCTGCCATGATGACAATGGACTAACCCTCTGAACTATAAACCAACTCCAATTAACTAATTTTCTTTATAAGAGTTGCCGTGGTCATGGTGTCTTTCCACAGCAATAAAACTCTAACACATACACCACCTTTCTCCTGCACAGAATCAAAGCACTGTATTCTCCATGGCTGAGGAGCTGGCTCAGCAGTTAAAAGCACGTATTGCTCTTGCAGAGGGTCCAGGTTCAGTTCCTAGTGCATACATGGTGGCTCACACCCATATGTAAAATTCCAGTTCCAAACGATCTGAGGCTCTCTTCTGACATCTGTGGGTATCAGATGTGCACATGGTGTACAAATATGCATGCCAGCAGAACATTCACACATAAAAATAAGTCTTAAAAAAAAATTAAAACACTGTATGTATTCTTTCATTAGCGTCTCCCCTGTCA